AATAACGTGGATGTTTAATGTCAAGAAATCCGAAAATAAAACTTTATTAATATGTTTTTCACTAAATCTATGAAGTTGATTTACCTGTACCTGTTTTATAATTATCAAAAAATGGACTTAGAACATCATAACGTTCGAAACCAGATTCAGTGATCTAGTAAAAAACTATTTCGATAAAAATCGGGCCTACTTGTGAACTTCTAGAATCTGAGATAGTGACTTTTTATTAAGGACGTCGACCATCTTTGATTTTGGTGTTCCATGTAGATACCAGGTAAAATTCAGGAGCGGTTCTAGCCTAAAAGTGATTATTAGGACCTACAGAATTTGTTTACTGAATTTCGCGCAAAACCAGTTTAGGGCTATATGCACTAACCGTTCCCAATTTTGAAGTAATAGACTAGAGTGAAGACAGCTAGTCAACGCCATCCACCTTCAACTTTTGGTCTACTCTTTACTAACGAATAGTATGATTGACTGTTACAGTATAACACCCTCGGAGTTAAAAAAACGAGCATTTTCGTCGACTGAATTCGAACTTGCGACCCACAGATTGCAAGTAGAGTGTCATAAACATCAGGCCCATAGGAATCTCATAAGATTTGGTGCTTTTATCCAACCTGTAACGGTCATGTCGCTAAGCCACCTGACAGATGCAATACAAAGCGTTTCTGTAAAAAGTTTCAATGTAATTGACGCGAGTTTTATAACTCCCTTAAAAACGTTCAAAATAAAAAATATTACAAAGAAGGTTCAATGATATTGGAAATTACATTTCTGAACTTTTTGTAATTTGAAGATGTATCGCTAAGTATTCGTTGTATCAAAAAATGTCGCAAGTGTTCATTTTCCTATGAAACAGCACAACTAAGTTTTGCTGGACAGCATGTAAAATACTGTACTCAAACTTACTGCTACCAAACACAACTTTAGTGTTTATGGTTGTCGTTAGTTAGATTGCCTCGCAATATTATTGGAATTTGTGCAAATGTGTATATTTTCGTTTATAAACTTAAAACTGTTTTGTTTTCACAGATTTTTTACCCATGCTAATTGCTCATGTCGAAATTTGTAATGAAAGTTAAATCAGACTGTATTATCTTTATCTCACAACATGGATTCTTTTACTTCCCTTATCAGAATATATATATAATGCTTCTCTTCTTCTTGTATAACTAAAACAGTTTTGTTGGTAGTACGATTTATAAGCGTTTTTCATTTTTGAACATTCTTAAAGAAAGATATAGAGTATTCGTATTGTAATATATAGATATATGTTGTTATAGCGTGTTCTGTGGTTGGGCGGTTGGTTTTGGATTATTTATAAAAAATAATACGAGATCCAGTCCATGAAACAATAACAAATTAATTTATTTATTCTATAACATTCACCTTTACACAATTTGTAGGCCTAAGCTCACAAAACAAACGTGTTATAAGCTATAACTTTAATTTCGTAATTTAGTAGTTTGCGAAAGGGAGTTGCTAATAATGATGATGCAATGATCAGGAGATTTTGCGAAAGGGAGTTGCTAATAATGATGATGCAATGATCAGGAGATTTTGCGAAATATCGAGAAGCAAGAATATAGAGTGAAATGTTCATTTGAGTAAATAGCGAATGAGTATTCAATGAGGGTTATCACGTTTCTTCTACTATTCAGTTACTTGGTGATTTACTGTTTGCTTATCTAACAAAACCAGTTATTAAATTATGTCAGGCTTACGTCTCGCAGTTTACACTGACACGTTAATTTCAGGTTAAACGTACATTTATTTGTCGAATCAATGTTGAAACGTTTTTTCTTACAAGTGAACGTGACTGTAGGAACTGGTTACTCGTACTTATGAACAGCGTATCTTGCCTCTAGATATTGCCAAAAATTAGAATCTTCACGTCATCGAAATGACGAGCTCCCTCTATCAAACAAGTAATACAATATTAAAATTATGGCTTACGACATTATTTCCCCCAAAAGGGACCGACGGCTGCCTGGAGGGGTCACCTGTTTCAACCACTCGCACCAATATACAGTAATGTGTTATCTGCCAGTTAGTCAGTAGACACTAAAATGATATCTTTAAGGACGCTTAAAGTTACAATTTGTACTGGTGTGACGTTAGTAAAACGTGCGCATGCCATGAATCACAAGAAGAATTATACACTCTTTAAATTACAACACATATGAGCTTCGACAGACAAAAAAAAAAAAATTGTTAATTTTAATTTAGGTTTTATTTACTCTTGAAACTAAGCACTTTCGGGGATCCTGCAAAATACATCTAGTATGTGTGTGTGTGCGCGCGCGTATACAGGCAAATTGCTAAACAGTTTATATAACACAATGACATATGAAACAGTCCTTTTAAACAATATGACCCCCCACTTGAAAGAAAACCTTGCATGTAATTTAGCAGTTTAACAAAAACTTTCATAAACAAAGTTTGGTTTGTTTAAGTGATATTGATTTTCTTTATCCTCAGTTGTTATAGCTCCTTTGACTTTTATATTTAACCTATCCTGAAGTTATTTCATTATTATGCCAAACCGGCGATATAAACTGAGTTGTTTGAGGAAATAAAAAACCTAACAAAAAAATACTACACAGTAAGATCGTTAACCTTACAATTTTGTTTTTGCTGACATAGAGAGACTTTTTTTCTTCTACTGACCCAATTAAAGAAACAATTTTATGACATTTACGGGTTTACGTACAGTTAAAATTTGATTATTTTATACCAAACAACCCTGCTCTGAAGAGAAGTACAAAAAATTTACATATCGTCATGGAGACACGTGATCCTTTGTACTTGTGCATTACAACGAGGGTTCTCTTTAATTGGTTTTATTCACACTAATAACATGCAAGCAGGTAAAACCAGTTATATCTTTGTTTTGAAATTCGCATATAAAGTTTTGATTGATCACTGCCCTTATATACGTATTAAATGTGGTATACAGACGTTTATTTTAAAGAAAACAAAATGATCAATAGCTTTAAAAATAATCCAAAATAATATGAAGGAAAAGTTATATAGGTTTTATTTTCACTTGCTCTTTATTATACTTTGGACTATTTTGCCTTTTGCATACACCACGTTTGATTACTAATTCCGAATATGTTAAAATTAAACAAATAATTATATTACTAAAATCTTAAAAATATTATTCTAATTAAAACAGGACTTGTGGTATTTGACATTTCAATTAGTCTTAGAAGCTGCCACTAGATGGCATAAAGTATGTACCATTCAGATTTTAATGTAAAATTTATCTTGCGTTATTGTCCAATATATTGGTTATACGAATTACTACAAAGAAAAGCAAAATCATGAACACTTGAGATAACTGCATATTGCACGTTAGTAGATTTTATCTTTTAGTACTAGGTTGAAGAAAAGATACAACATTATAACCAATGTCAAAGAAAATCAACACCTGAATAAATAGGAGAGATGGCGGTTTACAGGTTAGGGACAGTTCCTGAACCATGAAACCGCCAACTCACTTATTTAAGTGTGTTTGCAAGCAGTTGCGTTACTTATCCTTCAATGATAAATAATATATAGAAAAAGGTATACATTTTTTTCTAAAGTGTGAAAAGGTTTTTTTTTTCTAAAGTGTGAAATGTGAAGTGAATTAAGTGAAATCTGGGATCTAATCCTTGTATTGTTTGTTGTACAGAGATAGCGTACAGTGAAATCTGGGATCTAATCCTCGTATTGTTTGTTGTCCAGAGATAGCGTATGTAAAGTGAAATGTAGGGCGATAAAAACTCCCCCCTCCCCAGTTATGAGGTCGTTATTGTTTTTCCTTCCACCATAACTCGTGCTCCTACATCCCTGAAGACGAAAAGACTTGATCCGAAATGTTGTCCAAATATCCAGTCTTTCTAAACACTTTATTTGACCAATAGATAACAAATGAAACTTTTCAGCAACTCAAGTTTAACATCTAACCATGCTTCCGAAAATTAGATAAAAAATTTGAATTTGAAAAACGGTGTTAAAACACCTCTTGAAATAAAACAATTACATTCTATTGCGACTTTTTGAGCAGCCAATATTTCTACACATTCTTACTTAATTTTACAGTTACCGATGTAGCCTAAACTGTCTGAAGAATAACAGTTGCTTGTAGGCCCACGACTTGGATGGTCATAGAGTCCTTAATAACATGAGCAACAACAACAAAAATTCCATAAATATTTCAATCAATCTCAGGTGATCTTTGTATGAATATTAACCTAACCTAATGTTTTTGATAAAGTGTTTTTATCAGACCAAAACAAAATTACTCAAAATAATGCATCGTGGACGGACTCAGCCAGTAATAGATGTCATAAAACAACTCAGTAAGTTGAGGGTTAACATTTCTCGAGAGTAATTTATATTAGACATAGTTAACTACCTTCAAGAAACAACAATTAACCAAAGTTCGAAACTTGCAGATTATGGCATGGATGCTGTTGCCCGACACGAATTATTGTGTTTTATCTTGCACACTACAAAATCTAAAAGTGAAGAAATCAGAGTTCTAGATATAGCTGAAAAATAAAGACTTACGTTTTCTCAGTTAAAAGAAAATAAGAACATTACAACACAGGTTTTTTTTTTCGTTATTTTATTATGAAATTCGTTCCGTGCTTAAATCCAAAACAGAACTATGGTGCAATAAATAGAAAACAAAGTTTGACTAGAAGATCGCCAGAAATAAAAGTCATTATACAATATTTTGAAAACTACACAAGTAGGCAAGTACAAAAATCTGAAGTTATCTTCCGCAGAAAACAAACATTCTTGTGGTCATGTTCTCGTATACAAAAATCTTCATAATGAAGACTTCCGGTAGGCGGAAGTGGTTAATTGTTAACGATAACTGGTCAACTCAAAACTTTAACACAACCCCACACACACACACACGTTTGCTTATAATTCAAGAAATTCTGTTTTCGATTTTTCGAACACCGAGTACCAATTAACATTATTTTACTATTTGCTAATTTATGATCAATAAAACACATTCTTATTCTAAACCAATTAACTTCTATAATGATTAGTTGAAGAATTGAGAACAAATAGATAAGACCCTGTTGAAAGACAGTTCAACAACATCAGGGAAAAAGGTCGAGTTTTTCCTAATGTTTCGTGAACATAACGATTAACACTTGTCTTCACTAAAACTCAGTTCAACGTTACAATCATTTGTATATATTAAATTCTGTCAAATCAGAAAAACTATTTTCACACACACACACCAACAAACGTATATAAATGCATATCTATAGTCAACTTTAACACATTAACTACGTAGTTGGACTAATATATAAATTCGTTTACCTTTATTTATTCTGAAAATTACTTGCTATTAAAATCCAGCAAGGAAATGGATGAAAATAAATACCCAGACAGATAATTCAGGATAAGGATAAAATAGTACAAATAAAAGAAACACAAAACAGAGGCAGATAAAGGAAGACAGATGCAACGAAAGAGATTAAAATAGTCACGGAATCACGTGACTTCACCGTGGTCTTTTGTACGTGTGCATTACGTGGATATCAAATTAAATACACAACACTTCAAGAAAGTAAGAATTGGCAGTAGGTAAAAGAGAAGCAGATTAGACGAGATAAAGACAGGATAGAGCAAGGCATTGGTCCATAACTTCCTTGCAGTCGTCCACATAAATTGATTTCTAAGAATGAAGCAACACTGCAATGCTTATGCGATTTCTAAAATGGCGATACGATTTTAAATTGTACTGGGAGGGAGGGGGGGATGGTAAAATCTCACACAAATAAGAATAAACAATAGTGGTTTAATGATATTTAGTTAAAATATTTCAATTCTACGATGTAACTTTGATATCGATATTTACATAGATTTGTTTTTACATTGACTGACACTTCACATAAATAAAGACTGGTCCCGTTTCTGATAAAACAGTTTTATGATAATATATCTTACGATAAACTGTCACTAAAAATTATTGAAAGTTAACTTGGACTAGGAAATAACACTATACATGTGTTTACGAAGGTCTACCTCTGCTGATTATCGTATTAAGATTTGGCTTACACAAGTCAAAGTAAATTTCATAAAAATAGTTTTTAAAAGATTTATTTAACTACAAATGATATTACTCTGGTTAGTTAATATCTAATTTAAGTTAAGACTAGACAGAATAGCAATTTAAAATTATTTTCATGATTTGTATATTCAAGTTGAAACAACTCAGATTTTCCGGTCTTGAGTTGGCTGGTTATTTCAAGACAATGAGCTTGACGTCACACTAGACGGCATGTGGCAAGTCTCTGTGGCAGTGGTAAGTCCAGAACTAACACACGAAAGTGAGTTTAAGGTTCCGGGAAAGTCAAAAACACTCTGTTGAGCACCTCCAGAGGGTGTTAGCGAGTCCGGATCGGGATTCCGTGGAATTACAGCAATGAGGGGAGAAGGAGGTGAAAGGGTGGGTTTGCAGCATAAACGAGCAGAAGGAGAGAAAACCTGAGATTCGAAAGATAATAGTTGCTCCATGAAACTGAAATTAGGAGAGACTATTTGTCGTCGAGAGCGGACGTATTCATAAGCTTCCTCCATTCGTAACCTTTTGGTAGCCATAAGATAGGCGATGCAGATTGTCGCCGAGCGACTGATTCCCGCTTGGCAGTGAACAAGTACTTTTCCATTGACAGATCTTGCATTATCTAAAAACAAGAAAAATAATACGTTTACTCCAAGAGTGTTAAATTTCATAAAATAATGCTATCCATGCTAAGTTATTTTAAGGATAACTGAATCTACACAGCTAATACATACTTCTTAATATGGAGCAAGCTTCAACAACTGTGGAATTCCCCTCTCCCTCAACAAAAAATAAATAGTCACTCTTGTCATATTTCAGAACAAAACATAATTGTAAACTTACTGACAGTGTTAATAAAAATTTAACTTAAGTTCAATCTCAACAACAACAAAAAATCACAAGTCTTTACGTGATTATTTTTTAATCTGATGAGCATATTATACTACATGTACAATTTAAAATTCAAACTTAGTGTTTTTTTTTTTTTCTTTGTAATTATTTATAGGAAAACGAGCCCTTAACGCCTCGGCTTGAAGGAGATAACGATAACAGACACGTGGGGCGCTAACATCACATTTCCGGTGAACATACCCTCACCGCCACACGCAGATCTTAATTACACACATGGTTGTTTGTCTTGTAAGAGCACGGCGTACTGGTTGATGTATCTTATAGAAACGCGCATAATAGTTAATGGCACGAGTCTCAAGTTCCTGGAGATTCAGGAAGTTGTAGAAAATAGAACAGAGTACACATTGAGAGGGAGAAAAAAAATTAAAAAGTCTCTTAAGTCAAAAACGCGTGCTTCAGTTGGGTAATGCCATCCAGAGAGGAGCTCGTGAAGCATAACAGCATGCGCGTGCTGCAAATGAAAACAACAGATAATGGTACTGTAGCTGTAGAGAACTGGCCTAACAGGAAGTTTGACGGTTAACTCAGCATCACAGGAAGTGCTCTAATTTTGAATATCTCGTTGCATGCCATGTCAGTCTACAATTGAAGCATATACACTCATAAGTTAAGGAAGATTAAGATTAGCCCAAGACATTTATCAAAATTTACCATATTAACATTACTGTAGCTGAACGTAATATTAACTGTTCTGAATTTATTGTAGATTTTAATATACAAGTTATGACTTGATTATTTTTTAGGAGTCATTGTAAATCGAAATAGTTTTTTTCTGTAAATTTTAAGTTCAATTTACAGGTGATGGAACACGTAGGTACAGCATTTTCTGGTTCGAACTTGTGCTTAAGCGTGTTTTAAAGCGTAATTCCAAATCACTTTTAGTTGCTTAACCAGTAATATTGTCCATCATCGTTTAAGGCTTAGCTACGCACTAGCAAGACAGCTAAAAATTTATGGAATACAGTGCTTCGAATGCGACGTTCTATTACACATCCTCGCTTAAATTTGCACATAATATCCTTTAGATGATTAAATTTTATTGTACTTAAGTTTCTAGAATAATCTCTAACGTGATAACTTAAAATAAAGTTAGCTAGCAGAGGCGGTGTGATTTTCTTCCCGGTGAGAAGGCTAATTTGGACAAAAATTTGAGGCTGCACTATCTTGTGGGAACACATACCCCAATTTTTGGTAAATGACCCTGTAAGCACTTTTCGTTCGAGGCGGAGACAAGAATGTTTAAGGTACATTTTGGCGGTAAAAAAACTCAGTCGCATTTGAAAGATTTTTTTATTAAACAAAAATTCAATTTGATACTTTAAAAATTAGTATATATTGTTCTAAACATAAAAGAGCTCAAAACATCAAAATACGAAAATACCGTAAATCAAAAAAGGTTTA